GAAATTTTTCAGGCTTTTGCAGAGTTTCTTCCCTTTCTGGCCATGCTGGTTTGTGACAAGTAGCTGTGTGTGAGCTGGAGCCTTGGAGGATCATCCTGAATAGGGAGAGGTGTCACTCTGGTGAGAAATTCCTTATTCAGCATTAAAGGTAACAAACATTTTGCAGCTAACCTATGTGAAGGAAGGATGAAAGATGGGGGATCTTAGAGATGTGCATGAGTGGAGGGTTGAGCATGATCCTGGTGGAAGTGAATTCCCCAAATGAGGGCGTGTTCAGTCTCCTCTGGTCTCTACTGAGCATAGCTCTCTATGGGGCATCATTGTTGATGGCTCATGGTCCACTGCCTTTGTTCTTGGCCTGCGTCTCCTTTCCTTGAGGGAAGAGGTTTGCTAGGTTTGAGCTGGGGACGAGTGAATCCCTTGTCATTGGGAGCTATAGCAGTGCCAACATGATATCCCAGCCCTGCCATGCTCACTCACCGCAGGGCTCAGGAGGGCTCTCCACAACTGACTGGTAACAGGCAAGGGCAGGGTGGATGTGCACGGGGAGGGGAGCTCCTGGCATCGACCCCTCTGAGCCCAGAGGGAGGACTGGATGCTGCCCTCTTTCCCTGCAGCAGGGCAGCCATGGCTACTGCCTGTGCCGGTGACAGGGTGAAGGGCTGCATACTCCCTGCCTATCTGCTGCTGGGGAAGCTGGACCCTGCACCCGCTGGGCAAGCATTGCTGTGACATTATCCTGCATCTCTCCAGCTCCTGGGAGTCTCCTCTCATCATCCCTTGTTAGAGGGGTAGGTTTGGTGGTGTTACCGAGGGATATGCACAGTCCTCATTCTCATCACCCCGCATGCAGTACGGTGGGGATAAGGGCTCTGCCCTCTTTACGGCAGCTGGGGGCTTTGTAGACTGGGCAGGAATGATGATCCTCTAGGCATTCTGGGGGCAGGGTAAAAGCCCCAGCACACGGAGTGCCCTTTTTCACTCTTGGGTTTCTGCGGCTGATGCAGCTGTGAAAGATGCAGGATTAAATCACCCTTGGGAGAGGGGCAGGGCTGGCACTGTCAGGGGGAAGCCTCCAAAAAGACACTTGAGAAGCACAGGTAATGAGCCCTAAAAGCAGACACTGTTTGAAAGCATGGAGGAAGACCCTCTGAGGGGAAAGTAACAGTCCCAGCTCATATCTGATTCCTTGGCTGCTGTGCATCATCAAGGGAACAGATTTTAGGGGATTCAGTAAAGCAGAGACCTCCCCCATCCCTGGCTGCTCGCTGCTGTCTTGATTGAGGTTCCACTTAGCTTTCATAAAGCAGCTAATTCTTCAATGCTGAGATAGTCTCAAGACGGCAGCTACAGGAACAGAATGGGGGTGGAGGTGCCAGGGGCTTGAATATTCTTATGCACTGAGTCCATCTTTCATGGGATATAAATAGACCCCTACTTGCCTGAGGTTTTTCCTCTTGGTCAGTGCTCAGCCAGTGCTTCTGAAGGGAGTTTAATCCTGCCAAATGCTGGAGTGAAACTTATCATAAATAGGGATGCAGATGATCCTCGAGCACAAGCAGGAATTAAAGACAGAGTGATTCACACACTATACCAGCCTGTTTCAGCAATACAGCTGGCGTCACATCACGGCAGCTTCTGCAAAGCTTAATGAAGATATACTGGTGGAGATATGTGCAAATGTCCTCAATTCAGGTACAGAAAAACAAAGCTGATCCTTCCATCAACTCAGGTGCTCATGGAGTTTGGGGAGACAATTCCTAGGGCATTAAATACAGTATCACCACACATAATTGCACTGCGGCAGCACCAGCAATCCCAGGTGCTGGGAGCAGCACTAACACAATGCCAGAGATGGTCTTGCCTGGCTGAGCTGAAAAGACTAGAAAGACAAAGACAGATTTCTTGTTTCTCTGTGACAGGTGGGCATTGTGGGATAAAGAGATTAAACTTCTATACTTAATCACTGGCAATGCAGCCAGAAAACAGAGTCCTGGGTTAGGAAGACTCTTGCTGGGCAAGGCTGAACGTGGGGTGAGTGAATAGGTGCATTCAGCTCCCACAGGCTGCCGAAGGGAGAGCAGGTTTTGCAAGAGGTTTTCAAGTGATGTTCTCCACTGCTCAGAGCCGAGGCTCCACAGAGGAGCAGCCTTGGCACAGGTCTGAGGGAGGTTAGGGGCTACGATGATCCACACATGGCTGATTCATCTCCCCTCTTGCACTCGGTGTCACAGGCAGACCGAGAACAATCCCCATCCCAGCAGGTACCTTCAACCCAGTGATTCATCTGAGGCAGTGCAGGGTAATGTCCATGAGGAGCCACATAACAGGGCTTGAAACTGCTGTCTGAAAAGATGTTTTTAATGAAAACCAGAAAAGGTTGTATAAGACCTGAAATCACATATTGCCCAATGGGAAGTCAGTGACAAGCTTCTCAGCCACCCCCAGCAGCAAACTCTCTGATTAATGATATGGGGCAGGGTGTCACTTGTTCTAGGAAGCAGGCCAGGATTTTCTTTATGTGCAGCCTAAACCAGTAAAAAAGGCAAGTCTTCTTTGGCCCAGAAGGATTGTTAGTGACAGACAACTTCAAGTGATCCTAACTGTGGTGCAGAGGAAATATCTGTGAGATCCAGATTTCATTGCCTAGGACCAGTCTGGGACCAGTCAACTCCCTTTGGTTGTGTAGAAAAGACCAAGCCCCTGGATGCATGGGCACAGCTACCCTCCACCCAGAAGAGCCTGCAAGGTGCTCTGCCCTTCCTTTGCCTTTACTTTGCCTCTGTGGCTCCTGACAAGCATTACACCATCACTCCATCGCTGATGCGCAGCTACTGGGAGCATGTCACATTCCCAGACCAGTTATCTACCACAGGAATCTTCCTCCTTTCCATCCTGCCCAACTCCCAGCACCTTTGGGAAACATTGGATCAACCTGCAGTCCCCATATGGGTCAGCAGCAAGCAGTTAGAAAGAGCACTTGCTGCTGCGACCACGTCCTCATTCTCTGAAAGGAAAGCAGCAGGATGTTTATAGACCAGGGTGAAAAAAGCTATACCTAGGCAATAAAAGTTATTATGATAAAGGAACAGACTGTACTCTCTGCTCTCTCTGAACACCTTCTGACTCTGACAGCTTCTCACCAGAATAATGCAATAAAACTCACTTACACTGAGTAGCTCCTTGTCCTTTGTCTTTGTTTTATTAGGGAATTATTTGTTACCTTTTGCAAACATGTAATTGCACTTCTGAGAATGACTGGTTATTATGTACCTCAGAAGATCTTTTTAAATCCCAGTCTTAGGAGATTTACCCCATAAACAACTTGTAGAACACAAGAAAAAAATTAACAAGGTCACAAATACGGTTTAGTTTTTCTCATATGTATAGTACAAATGCCAGCTTGTGCCATAAAATGATATTTCCAGCATCATCTGACAAAGAAACCCACCTGGTAATTCAGTTAACAAAATGAATTTAGTAAAGTTACCCAGTATTTCCTATTGATAAAGTACAAAATGATGCACCCAAACCCAGAGTCTGTTTATCATCTGTGTTGGCTGCTGGACCAGAGAAAGAGGGAGTTGGTCTCACACACAACACCAGAGCACCCCTCTTGATGCTCTCCACTGCCTGCTTCTCCCTCCTATGCAGCTGGCTCTTGCAGCCAGCAGCCTGGAGCTCTGTGGTGTGGGGAGAGAAAGCATTCCTGGCCTCCAGCCTTGGTAAAGCATTCCCAAGAAGTGTGCCGACAGTCACTCCCAGACCCTCCCTTGCTCGTCCCTCAGCCCTTGTTAGGAGATCCCCTGGGCACAGAACAGAAGTCAGTGAATCCCTCTTGGAGCAGTAAGCAGCCTGTGCTGCTGTGCCCTGAGGTAGACCGTTTGCTCCTTTACACACACATCTGTGTTCTGCCTTCAAGAAAAATCTCTCCTTTTGCTCAGGACTGAGGTTTAAGGAAGAAAAAGGATGCCCCTGGAAATTGGCTGTCACATTTGCAAGGCTTTGTTGTAAATCGTTGCTGCCGCCTCTTTTTTCCCCTATTTTATTTCTTGTGCTTGTCAAGAGTTTGTGATTCTTTCCAGAGGCTCAAACACAATATTTCTTTCCCTGCATCTCCGCTCATCTCTGTCAGCCTGTTCCCCAAAGGGTGCAATGTGGGGGGACATTGCTGAGCACAAGCCCCGGAATGGGGTGCACTGCAGCCAGCAGAGAGAGCCAAAGAGCACAGATTGCCCTATTTATGATCTGTATCTAAAAGCAGAGGATGGATATCCTGTGTGCCAGGGGCTATCCGAGCTCTGGCTACAACCTCACCACAGAAGATGGGCTGGAGACAGAGGTCTGCACCGACAAAAATTTCCCCCGAAACTAAGTGCCTGCTGTTCATTTCTCATGTCAAGAGTTGTCAATTCTTTAAGGGTCAGAAGAAAGTTAAGTAAGATGAAAATAAGTGAACTACTCTATCTAGGGTTGAATGCAGCGGAGTTTCAATAACAGCAACCTGTAAGAAATTGCTTCCATGCAAATCTTTTTCCCCTGGTATTTTTGATTGTTGTTCAGCATCCAAAACAACTCCTTATTCACTCAGCTCTTCTGAAACTTCACAGTGTAAGCAGCAACAGCTGGGGCAGAGGTAAGAAAGGCAATGGGGACCAGATGGACCATGGTGGTGGCATTTCGGCACAATGTGCGTCACTGCTGCCCAGACACAAGAGCTCTAGACTGCAAGACACTGCATCTTCCATGGCTTGAATAAACAGCCCCTGAGGCAATGGGGGCCATAGGTGATGTTACCTGTGCTGATGTCTTCTCCCAGCTGCAAGAAGTGGACCTGGATCTTAGAGTCTCAGACTCCAATATGGGAAGAGTGGTAACTGCTTGTGACAATGGGACAACACTACACCAGTGCGGCCCCCTGTGGGCTGTTTCCTCAGCACAGCTAGGGTAGCACCAACCTCATAATGGATGGTGCTCGCCAGGGCTGCCCCATGGCTACATGCAGCCCAAAGCTGCTGCCCTAACATCTCCATCAGCATGGGGATGGCAGGGATACCCAGTAATACTCTTCTTTCTCCTGGTTTAGGGTCCTTGGAAGGAAACTCCACTGTCCCTGGAAGGACAGAAGCAACAGGAAAGAGGAGTACTGAGATCAAGCAACATGTCTGAACCGGAGCTCTCAGCAGAAGAGTATAGGGAAAAGGCAGCAGCTGTTCTCCCTGAAACCTGCATACAACATTTGGAAAGCAACAATTGGAAAGAGAGGATTTCCAGCATGGATACCATTCAGAAAACTGTCAGGGAGATGAAGACAAGTGAGATACCATGCCAAGCCCTGATGAGACTGCTGTTACAAGGACATGAAGAAACAAAGCTCCAGGTGATGCAGAAGAAGCTTCACACCATCACTTTGCTAGCCCAGAAAGGAGACTTCTCCAGAACATCTGCTCAAATTGCATTGGAAAGTGCGGTGGAAATGGTGGGAGATGTGCTAGGCAGCACCAATGCTCAAGGAACCCTAACAGCTATAGCAGAGGCATGTTCACTGCCCTGGACTGCAAAGACAGCTCTGTCATTGGCCTTCTCACAGAATAAGTCCAGGATCCATTCCAAGATCTTGGACTGGACGTCAAAAGCAATTCTGGAGTTTGGCTTTGAAGGGATGGAGGCCAAGGCACTGGTCAAGACCCTGAAGATCACTCTTGCTGCTCTTCACTCAGGTGTGCAGAGATCAGCCATCACCTTGCTGGGTGTTATTTACCTGTACATGGGAGACTCCCTAAGAGAGTGAAGAGCTGTTCCTCCTTCCCCAGGTAGATGCTGAGCTGAAAAAGCTGCATGGACAGGTCCCACCAATTCCCAGCCGTGCCAATCCCGAGTTATGCCCAGATGACAGGGTTCAGGAGGACCCAGGGAATCACAGAATGACTAAAGCCATAGACATTAGTGACAGGATCACACCAGAATTGGTGTCAAAGCTGCTTAACAAGAACTGGACCATCCAGAGGGAGGGCCTGGAAGAGGTTGCAGCGATCCTTCAGGATGCCAGATTCATCCAGCCAAACATAGGAGAGCTCCCAGGAGCCCTGAGGGCTTCTCTGTGCAACTCAAACCCCACCCAAGTACAGATGACCCTAAGTGTCCTCCAGCAACTGTCCACAGCCATGGGTTCAAATGTCAAACAGCAGATGAAGGACTTGGGCTTTCCCCTCATTGCTCTATTTAGGGAAAGCAGGAGCAATGTGAGAGCTGCCACCCTGCCTGCCATGAATGCCTGGGTTGCACAGATGAATATATTGGAGTGGACGGATGAGCAGGGCAGTTCCAAAGATCCAGGTGAAGAAATGCCTTTACAGAAGCAAGAGCTGATGCAGTGGCTGGTTGAACAGCTGCCAACACTCAACTCAGCTCCCTCAGACCTGCTTCGGTGTGTGCCTCACCTCTACTCTTCCCTGCAGGACAGCAACAGGGATGTGCAGAGAGCCTCGCAGGCAGCCCTGCCTTTCTTCATAATGCACCTTGGCTTTAAGCAGATGGCTGAAGCCACCAGTGGGCTGAAGGCAGCTGCAAAGGACCATGTGCTTGCAATACTGGAGAATGTCAATGACAGTCTGACAGCCCAGTCCTCTGCTTCTGCTAAGTCACTTCCCGGACACCCTAGAGTCATCACCACAATCACTGTCCCCTCTGTTCTAACCACACCACCTGCAGCAACAACCTTGTCTTCACAAGCATCAGCTAAAGAGCCAGCACCCAATACCAGCAGAGAGGAGAACTGGGATCCCAAGGAGCTGCAGTCTGGAGAAACAGTCCAGAAAGGCACAGGTTTAGCCAAGGAAAAAGCAGAAATTAATTCCACTAAGAAGGATGGGGTCAGCAAACTGGCACCTGTCTTCATTATTGTCCCCAGTGGGAAAGAGCAGAGAATGAGAGATGAGAAAAGCAGCAAAGTGCTGCAGTGGAACTTCAGAGCTCCTAGTGACAGGTATGTTAAGCAGCTGAAAGCTCAAATGAATGACTGTGTGTCCAGCAGCTTCCAGGTGGAATTGTTCCACTCTAGCTTCCCACACCACATCAAAGCCTTGGCCATCATGGCCAAGCACTTAGAGACAGAGAAGGAAGGAGTTACCAGCTGTCTGGATCTGATCTTGAAATGGCTCACCCTGCATTTTTTTGACACCAACACATGGGTCCTTTTCGAGAGCCTAGATTACCTCAATATGCTGTTAACCTTGCTGATCCAAGAGAAGTACCAGCTGATGGATAATGAGGCCATTTCATTTCTGCCATACCTGATCCTGAAGATGGGGGAGCCAAGGCAAACTGTTCTCAGATTGGTGCATGCCATCCTGAAGAGGATGTGCCTGATATATCCACCTAAGAAGGTGTTTGGCTTCCTCATGGAAGGCATCAAGTCCAACAACACTAAGCAGAATGAAGGCTGCCTGGTGGAGATGGGCTATCTCCTTGAAACCTATGGCTTGGATGTATGTGAGCCAAGCCCTAAGAAACCTTGAAGAGGATAGCTGCTTTCCTTGGAGACCAGCACAGTGCTGTTCATAAAGCTGCTGTAAACATTATGGTTACAGCTTGCAAAACTCATGGGGAAGCCCTGTTTAAAATGATTGGGGATCTTCCTGAAGAACATACAAGGATGCTGGGACAGGAACCTGACAGGTCAAGAGTTTCCTCAGCAAAGCATTTCAGTGAGAAACCTCAGCATGATTCAAACGCAAGATCTGAAGTCGCCTGTAAGCATGCAGGAGATGCACCCTCAAAGCCAGAGCCCACCAGTAAGCATGCAGGAGATGCACCCTCAAAGCCAGAGCCCACCACCTCTCAAGGAAGAAATTTCAATATGGTACGTCCCCAGCCACTACCTCCAAAGGTAGGTGAGCAAGTGAGCAGGCTGGTCTCCAGAAAATAGTCTCTTTAGACTGAAGGGTATTATACAGTTAGAAACAATCCCTGAATTCCAAACCCTGCCTATCTCCTCAGACACTGATGACACATGTCATAACATCACCTCCATCATTAATTCCCTTATTTGTCGCATTAGCAGTGATGACACTGACACCAGCATCCAGGCAATGAAAGCAATTGAGATGATCCTGAGAGAGAACAAAGTAGAAGCCATGTCTGGGCACATTAATGAGTTCCTTGTAGCTAGCTTTCAATCACTCAAGTTTATCAACCAGCAACAGAAAGCAGACAATAAATGGCATAAGGAACAAATCATTCTGCAATGTAACTATGTCATTCAGGCCTGTACCTGTGTCTTCCGGAAGAATAAGCTAGCTCAGGAGGCCTCAGTGGAAGTGCTTAAGAATGTAATGACAAGTCTCTCTGCCTTAATGCTAGACTTCCTGGATGGACACCTAGAGAAAGATCAGAAGCTCATACAGTCTATTAAAGTCCTCATGAAAAGGGTATTGGAAAAATCTGACCAGACAAGAATTGTTTGTGCCTTGCTGAAGCTGCTTCAAGACAGCCTGACTGTTAAGGGCATCCCAGGGAAGTTTTCTGACCTGCTGGCCAAGTGCCTGTTGAAGACCACACAGCTTCTCCCAGCCACCATCAGCACCATCAACCTGGATGAAATCCTGCTGGATGCCCACATGCTGATGATGAAAGCACTCTCAAATGAAAAACTGAGGCAGCACACAAATAAACCCCCGCTGTGGGCCCTGGAAACTCTGCTGCATCACTTGTGCAAGCTGAAAGGAGTGGAGATCCTGGACCACCTCACCCTGATTGATGATGCAGCTGGCTCAGAGGTGGAAGCTTACGTACAAAAGACAGTCAGTCCTGTTATCAAGCAGGAGGCAAACAAAACAGCTGTACGAGCAAGGAAGGAGAACGCCTGGGCAGCTCGCAGAGTTGCAAAGGACAAAGCAGGTGATGTGCCAGAGAGAGCATCTTCTAGAAAATTTGTTCCTAGGAGAGTTTGAGGGAGGGTCAAGAGGGGTTATGTGAGTGTAAGAAAAAATGGCCCAAGGGAAAGATGGAGTCTTTCTTAGAAAACCTCCCCCTCCTCTTGCAGAGCTATGTGCAGCAAAGCCTGGCCAACATCCAGACAGAATAAGACACAGAGAGCATCTTCCTCCTTCTCCCTTGGGGACGTCCCCTAAGGTGGAAGCATCTCTCCTTCGGTCAACCGGGATCCCAGGAGGGACTATAAAGGGGAAGGAGATGATACCATTCCTACCACCTGGAAAACCTGCCATTCACCTTCAGCAGCAACACAACCTTGAGAGCAAGACAGCCCACGGCAGGCTCCCTCCAGTTAGCTTCCCTTGAAGGATGGCAATGACAGCTTCTCCCTCCTTTCCAGGACTGCACATAGGGGTGTCCATGGGAGCATGTAAAACCACCGGCAGAAACAGCACCAGGAGCTCAGAACTAGCTAGCCTTCCTCCACACACACATCAATGGGCAGATGACATGAACCACAAAACAATAAAGAAAAAACTCCAGCATGAATACTGAATGAGTTAATTGTGAGCTGGTACCCCAGGGCTGCAGCCCCCAGGAGCCAGCCCCAGTTTCTGGTTGATGTCTCTGTTGCTCAGAAGAGCAAAGAACAGGGCAGGTAGTGCTGAGGCACAGGTAGTCAGCTGGGGAGCATTAAAAGCATGTGTGTACCTAGGGAGATGTCACTCCAGCTCAGGCGGGGCTTCTTGGGTGACTAAGCAGACTGATCCCTTCCCCAGGTGGTGCAGGTAAATAGAAAGAAGAGCAAATTGCTGTTTTTCCTAAAGCCAGAGAGGAGATAAGTCTGAAGACCAGGAGATTCCCTTAGGCAAAGGGAATAGGGTCTCCCAGGTTCCCTCGGCACTGCAGAGAACAGGTATAGGGTTTGCTTGTTTCCATAGGTCAGTCTTTGTGTTTCCATGTCACAGCACATTTTAACCTTTAAAAAAATGAGGTGCATGAGACTGATGCCTTGGGGCAAAGTTGAACCCAGAGCACACAAATCCAGCCAGGACACAGGGCAGAGAACCGATCAGGGTGCTGAGCCTGTCAGGAGAACCTCTGCAGGGGCACTTCCAACATGGGATTTTCTAGCTGTTGAAACATTCATGATTATTAAAGTGTCAGACTAAGAGTGCCCTGGTTCCAAGCTGGGAGCTGCCTGAAGAGATCAGGGCTTTCAAGCAGTATCTCTGCCTTACTACCAGTTGCACAATAAGCCTACCAAAGCCAAAGGTTGCAATATCAAATTCACTGGGGAATGTGATCTTTACAAGTTTCTGGGGTTTTTTTATTAAGTCAAGTCAATTAAGACTTGGGCTTTCAAAACCACTTCCACTTGTCAAATTGAAAGGGTTCAAGAGAGCAGAGGTGCTATATACAACTGCAGAAAGACTGCCTCATCCCAGCCCATCCTTCCCACATTTCCCAAGAGGCACGCTGCTATTCTTATGTAAAACAATTTGTCTTTAACACCCCTCTTGCCTGTGAGTTCCTGAAGGTAGGAGTCCTCAGCTTTGTGCCAGATATAACAGTGAGCACTTCAAGGATGCTCACTAAATTACAAGGCTTATTTATTAATAGATAATCCAGCCAATTACAAAATACTATTAAGCATTTGACTCAGGCAGAGTGAACATAGCAAAACTATATTTTTAATTAAAATGTGGAAAAAGAAATACGCAGTCTGATAATCAGCCAACAAGAAAAAATACCCCAGAGATCTCAAAGTGTAATTACCCTTTCTGAATGGCCAGAATAACTTGTTTGCTGAAAACGCTCTCTATTGCTAATACAAAGTCATGGTCATCCATTCATCCAGTACTGTACCTGCCCAGGGGCTGCTCCAGTACCCATGAAATCAGGCTCTGGTATGTCTGTATTTACTTTCTGCCTTCTTTTCTGGCTGTGTAGCTGAAGGATTCACCAAGAGAACATGACTGATGCCTCTACAGTTTCTATTTTTTGATTCCTTCCCACTTTGCCCTTGGGACACCTTCACTTTTTGTGCTAAAGGATATAAGCTTTGGGGCTGGATTGGGGTTTTGTAGCTTACATGCAACACAAGTGGGTGCTCTTCATGTGGCTTTCCAAAAGTAAATTGTGAGGTTAGGCAACTGGACATGCTGTTCCAAGAGGTTTTTCTATGCTGTACTGTCTCTCTGCTGGTAGCCAGTGCCCCTCAAGCAGCTGCTTTTACAGCTTCCTCTCTACCATGTTCTGGAAATGCTCTGTAGAGATGCACCTCTGTACACCTACTGCCCTGTCAGTCCACAATGAAACTTGTCCAATAATAGCATTCCCCTTGCAAAAGCCTCTCTGGCAGTGTGCTGTCACCAGGCTGTCTTCCTAACCCATACTGCAACTGCAGTGCTGCATCTGTCACACTGCTAGAGGAAAAACTGTTAACCAGCAGACAGCACTGAACCATTTGTAAGGTTTCCAAAGGCTTAGGGAAAGTCAAGTGTTTGGAAGCCTCGCAGTATTTGCCATGCAGGCAGACTATTAATGATGCATCACATTATCAGAGTGCCTCAGGGCCCCTTTCAGAAGTTAGAAACCTCTCATAGTGGGTGCAGCACAAAGTCAGAACAAGTGACAGTCCCTGTCCTGCAGACATCACATGTGATGGGAGGTAAGTTCTTCAGCACAGTCCTGGAATTATTCAGGAGTAAGCAGTCTCTTGAATATTCTCAGCATGTTCTCACATGTGCCCCTTAGCAACAGTCAGGAATGCCCTGAACAACAGGTTATTCTTGCTTGACCCTAACAGCAAACAGCATGCAGTGGGGTTTCATGGTCCAGCATGGGTCTAGGTGCTTGTTCTGGATTTTGCACAACAGGCACGTGTTAAGAAAGAGAGGAGAACTTTGCACTCAGCTCTGGGCAGTGGAGGCCTGTGCCTTGGAAGAACTATTTCCAGCACATGTAACCCAGCCTGCCCAGAAACCATGCCTTCTGCCAGGGATATCTTACACCCCCAGAGACAGAGGAGCAGGTTTCTGCCTGTGAAGCAATGGTTAAGGAACAGGTCCTAACATACAGGATGAAACCTTGGGGTGCTGAGATGCTCCAGCCAGCACTATGTGCTGAGGTTTGCTGGACAGCAATTCACCCTGCCTCCCAGCCAGCCAGTCCTCCGGGCTGTTCATCCTCCCCCACAGCCTTGGGGAAGAGCAAAGAGCAAAAGAGCACCATGGTCGGGAGGTGAAGAAGAACAGCTGCAAAGAGCTCATAAGGGAGAGTTGACCTGGTACCTTTTGCTCTTTCCCAGTTCAGCCCTCTTCCATTTGCTGGAATCATGACCAAACTGCATGCTCGGAAGATAGCAGGGTCAGGGAGATCAATGAATTATAAATAAATACAGTATAAACAAATCAATCAGAGGGATAAAAACATCTGACAGAGCCACACTAATTAAAAATATAATAATCCAGATAGCGGACATTTATTTAAAATGGTGCAATTACAGCTTTTAATCATCCAGGCTTAAATTAACAGCAGCAGCAAAGTGGCTGTGCAAATGTGTTCTCTGTAATGAACTGATATTAGAAAGCCAGCTTGGTGATCTCTCCCTCTCTCAGGCTAATTCTCCCTCCTCTTGTTGTAAAATAACCTTTGGTGTCTTTTTCTTGTAGAGTCTTGAAGATGAAGAAACAATATTGGAGCTAAATTAAATCCCCTTCACATATTTCTCCTCTTTCAAGCTGTAAAAATTGCTGGTATCAGTCATTCAGTCTCTAGTGCTGACGCAACCACACTCGAGGAGAACATCTGGGGGCCCCAAGAGTCATTATAGGGAAAATAAAATCCTATATTACAATCAGCCAGCAATTAAAAGGCAGGATGCAGGAGGGCCAATCCTGCAAGATGCTGAGCAGGCTTGGTGGGGAAATCAAATGGTAGACTTGTGATGCTCAGGGGCTCTTCTTCACTGGGTTGATTGAGAGGAGGCTAGAAAATGTCTAAATTTGCTCATGGCCCAAGGCCCATGGCCAAAGAGTACTAATGCTCTTTGAAGTAGCTTGTCTTAATTTGGGTCAGTGCTGATCCAGAGGTCACAGGCTTAGTACCTGCTCACCACCAGCTAGCCTGGTCCACAGAGCTCTGGGGGCAAACTTGCCTTGGCTCTGCAGGTCCCAGCCAGGACTGCCATTCAAACAGACATGGTGTGCCTGAAGGCAGCGTTCTGCTCGCCACTTGAAGCCCCTGTGGTTGAAGTGGGCTCAACACAGACACAGCAAACCAGGCAGGAAAGCTCCCTGCTCCTGGCATGGTTCTGACTTACCAGTGATGGGTCTTAACTGCCCTGCACAACTGTCTTTCCCCAACATATGTATCTTACTGATCTACACCTGCCCTGTAAGAGCCTAGTGTCTTATCAGCCAAGATGCTGACAAGTGCGCAGTGCAGTCATGGAAGTGAGCAAATTCACAAACACATAGCAAGTAAGGCTGTTAAAGGCAAACAGCGTTCCAGACAGGGCTGTCCTGAGGTGGGTTCGAAACAGTCGCCAAGGAAAGGCAATTCTCCAACAGGCTGCAAGAGCTCTCCTCATCTGCAGCCTCTCCTCCCTGGCAGCCAGCACACTTTGCTCTGCTCTGACCCTGCCTTTGCTCTGTCTCCTTGTCATGCTCTGCACAGGGAGAGGCACAGCAGCCCTAAAAGTTCCTAATCTCAAGACTCAGCTTCCAGCAATGCCCCTGACATGTCTGTCCCACTGCTCATGCTGGTAAGAGTGTGGTGCTGATCCTGCTCACAGAATTAGGATGCTCCATGTCTCAGCTGGATTTGCTTAAAGGCTTCGAGGAAAGGGGAAAGAAATAAAAAAGAAAAAAACATGAGGGGAAAAAAAGCAATTTTGAAAGTGTGGAAAGATTTCTGTGTGGGAAATGAACACCACATGGGGAAAGCATATGTGTGACTGTGTGTTTGTATGTGCACATGCCTACACACATACTTCTGTGTGCACAAGTCACAGCTCCTTCCAAAGCTGCTCACCCACTCCTGGTTTTTGCCCATTGCCACCCAACATAATTACCTACATGCACCCATCGTCCTGAGCACATGATTGAAATCAGGAGCCCTTTGGAAAGAGAATTTCATCTCTCTAATTAGTAACAAATCCTCCTCTCTTTCCTGTTTACCCAAAGGGAGTGCAAACGTACAGCAAGAGAGCAAGTGAGAGTCATGCAGTCCTCACTGCTGCAGTGGGCAATGTAATTACCTGACCTACACATTAAGATTAATAAATATTAACTTTCCTTGTGTTTTTGCTGTCCACCTAAGATGGAAACAATGAGCTTTACTACTTAATCAAATTAGAGCTGTAAAATGATTTCCCTTTTAGAAGGTTCATTTCTGTTTTGCTGGCAATTAATGTTGATGATTTGAGTCCCATCTTTAAAACATTTTGAAATACGGAAAATGGCAGAAGTGCCACAGTACATTAATGGAGCCATAATATACATCAGGTAATAAAGCATGAAGAGCCTGTTTACTTTCAGTAC